GCCACTTTTAAAATCGAGGCACATGCCGCTTCGGAAGATCGGCATATGCCACGCTTGCAAGACGTGGTAATTGTGGCGTGTGCCAAGTACACGCCAAACAACGCGAGAAGATTTCTTCCGCATGCGACGCTGCAGCCGGTGGAGTCGTCTTGCCCTCCTCGTCGTCGTCGCTGCGTGGGCCGCGTTCGAGCAGGCCGCAGCCACGATCGTCATCGGGCCCAGCACGTCCCCGGATGCTCTGCGCGCGCTCTTCCATGTACGCCCCATGCATGCCACGATGGCCTCTCATGCATGGTGTTGGCTAGTGCGCCAGCCGGCAATGGATCGGCCGCTACAACGAACTGTACCAAGAGTGCGTATTTGCAAATGCGTCCGAGAGCCTGCTCATCGCCAACACTACCATCGACGCTACGGCCCTCTTCGTGCAGGACCACGGACCGTTCGCCGTGCACATTGAACTAGGCATCCAGCTCAATCGGACGTCCGGCGCGCTTCGCCTCGAGAATGCAACGCTTCTCGCGTCGGCTGTCTTTATCGACGCCACCAACGTCTCGCTGGACGCAGCGTCGGCCATCAACACGACGGCCAACGGCCTCCGCTTCGGACCTGGCTACAGCTCTTACGTGCCCATGGGCAGCGCGTACGGCGGCCTCGGCGGCTACACGCTTTCGCATGCTTCGTTCGCGGTCCCCGGGTCGTGCGACGACATTGACCGCGACGGCGCGTACACCAAGCCGATCGGCGACCTCTTTGGGCACGTGATGGACTTTCGCGGCTACGGCAGCGGCGGCAGCGAGGCCGACAGCACGCGCGGCGGCGGTCGCATTGCGCTCAACGTGTCGGCGACACTGCAGCTCGACGGCCGCCTCTTGGCCGACGGCGGCTTCGACGCGACCGCCAGCACCAGCTCGGGCGCCGGTGCGTCTTCTTCTTTGAAATGCGATTGCATGCGTTATGGCTATCTAGGCGGCACCGTCGTCGTTCAAGCATCCGCCATGCGCGGCTCCGGAGCCATCCACGCCGTCGGTGGCCAGGCCACGGCGCCCGATAGCAGCGGGCGCGGCGGTGGTGGCGGCGGAGGCGGCGGCCGCATTTTCTTACAAGTGGCCACCGCGCTGCCGCCGACGATCGACGTCGCTGCGTTTGGCGGGCGCCACGCGTCGCCCGTGGACGACAACTTATGGTGCCAAGAAGGCAGCGCCGGCACGATCCTCTTTGTGACGCAGCGCGACACGACGGTCGACGGCCAGCTCGTCATCAAAGAGCGCGATGGGCCGCCAAAGCCTCCGAGTCGGCTTCTCGTGGGCACGCCACTCTTCTACTGGACGAGCCGCCGCGAGCACATGCTGCCACCGTGGCTCACGTCCATCCTCGTCGCTGGCCAGAGTCTCTTGATTGCCAGCACTGTGCTCCTCGAGGTACTCGACTCTAGGAAGCGAATGCGTCGTAACTAGTGTCTAGCGTGGCACCGTGAAAACCTCTATCCTCGTACGCGCAGTCTTGCTACCGCATCGTTCTCACACCACGTAGCTCGAGGCGAGCGCCGCTTGGGCCAACGCCGCCAACAACAGCACGCTGCACGGCAGTGCCGCCAACATAACGCTCCATGTACGTAGCTATATCCCTCTTCCGCTTACATTGCGGGTAGGGTTACGTGGGGCCGCTGCCCGTGCGCGCGTACGAGCGAGGTCGCGTCGTGCTCACCGCTGGAGACCTCGTCCTCGGCGGTGCCGTCATTGACGCCGCGCAATTGGAGCTGCGCGCCGATGTCGGCAGCGTCTCCGCCGACGACGACTGCACCTTGCGCTTCGACGACCGTGTGTTTGTGGCGTCGGCGACTGATCTCGACGTCCGCGGCGCGGTTGAGCTGCCGCCGTCGCACCATAAGCAGCGGTGGCGCCGAGCGCCGAGCATCGTCCTCGAGAGCCAGCGCCACGCGCATGTGGCGTGGCAGCCGTCCCTCTCGCTGGCGTCCGTCGATGTGGCGGTGCGCGCAGCCAACCAATCGGCGCTGACGATCCACGGGCCGCTGCGCCGGTTGCGCGTCGACGCTGCCACGATTGTGTTTGCAGGCGGTGCCAACGGCTCGTCCACGGTGTTTCCCCACGAAAGTCGGGATGTTTGTCGGTCCTGGCCCGTCTCGGACGACTGCTCCGTCGGAGACTACCAACTTGCGCTCGTGGCCACGACGTCACTCGTGGTCGCCGATGTCCATGCGAGCTCGGTGCTTCTTTGCGCACCAAACGTCCACGTTGGAGGCTCGGGTGTGAGCGCTGACGGCCTCGGCTGCAAGGAAGACGGCCCCGGTGTCTCGACCGAGCTGGACGGTGCCAGTGGAGGGGCCGGACACGGCGGGCGAGGCGGCAACGTCGAGCCTGGCGATCGCGGTGGCGGTGCCACCTGTGACGCGTCGTGGCCTGGCAGCGGTGCGGCCGGCGAGTCGACCGGCGGCCTCGGCGGCGGCCTCGTACTGCTCCGTGCCACGACGCTGGCGCTCGATAGCCGCCTCAGCGTCCGCGGCGGCAACGGAACGGCAGGCGGCGGCGGCGGCGCCGGTGGCAGCTTGCTCCTCTTTCTCAAGGAGCTGCAGGGCAAGGGGTCCCTCGACGTCAGTGGCGGCGCGGGATCGTCAACGCCCGAGCGGCACGGCGGCGGTGGTGGCGGCGGTGTCGTGCGAATTGCTTACGCGCCCGACGGCAGCGGGCAAAAGTACCTCGGAACCGTCAACGTCGGCGGCGGGTCCAGCGCTGGCCAAACCGGCTACGACGGGATCACGGCCGGTCTCAACTGCGTCGCAGGCTGCGGCGGTGTCTTCTGTGCGCCGTGCGCCGCGGGCCAAGCGAGTGCCGTCGCCAACGGGACGTGTGAACCCTGCGCAATGGGCACCTTCAGTCCGAACCCGGGCTCGACCGCCTGCACGGACTGCGCGCCCGGGTCCTTCAACCCCACGATCGGCTCGACCGCGTGCTTTGCGTGCGCCAAAGGCCAGTTTGCCGCCGATGCCGCGGCCACCGCCTGCGCGGCATGTCCGCCCGGCAGCATGAGTCCGGAGAAAGGGACCGTGCACTGCACCTTGTGCCCGATCGGCAGCACCGCGCCGAGGGCTGGGAGCGCCAACTGCGAGCTCTGCGACGTCGGACACACGACTCCGGCAGTTTGCAGCCTCGCTTGCGTCCCGTGCGACTCCAAGCCGTACCACGCCAGCTACAACCAGAACGGGACGTGTCACTACATGTGCGAGAAGGGCCGCGTCGGGCTCAAGTGCCTCACGCCGTTCGAGCAGCTCGTCGCGCCCATAGGCGGCCCCCTCGGCTTTGTGCTGCTCTGCCTCGGCTCGATTGGGCTCATTTTCGCGGGCTATGGCATGCTCTCGTACCGCGGCCCGCCCGCCTCGCGCCGGCTCAAGCAGTACCAAGCCCAG